TTTGACAAGCAGTCTCCTGGACTTTAAATTATCCTGTTTTCCTCAGGTAACTTAACACTGCTGCTTTGCTTTGAAGTAGAGAGTGCAGGCCTCCCTGTTCATTTGGCACTGGAACATGCTACATTACATGACATGATGGCCGTGAATTTTACCTTTTAAACGCTATTATGCACATAATAATCACATATAGCAGAGGGATGAGAACAAAAACAAAATACCTGGATTAACGTTACCTCTCCAGCATTCGTTTGGTGTAGGGCTCCTGTGCTTGAGGTGAAGACTTGAAATCGGTCAAAATTCTTCACTTCTGTCAACATCCGCAAATTCTTGAAAATAAGGCTGTGTTACTCATACCGTAGAGTAATGCGAAAAGAAGAAACAACATTCACGCTGTGTCACCCGCATCAAACAGCACAAGCACTGTGAACGCACCTGATGCAGCGAAGCAAACGCTCCACGTTAAATTGTTCACTTATAATCCTCTTTTAGGTGTTTATAAAATATTGAAGGCGGATGGAAATAAAATGATCTGGTGTGCTAGACAACTTGTTTGGTCATGTTTTCCTGTTTCAGCGTCTCTTCTCTCTTTTTTCCAGTTATGCGCTCTGCCTCGCTCACACTTTTCACTAACGGCATACTGCTCAGTGCACGTCGCCTTATTATTACACATTGTGTGTTAAAATCCTACACAACATGTGTCAGAATGCTGTCAACACAACCATAAGTGTTGTTTTTTGACACATCTGTTTTTGCAGTGTATACTGCTATAGGCTGATTGCAGTGCATTCTGGGATTGGCTTGGCCATAAAAAGGTATGTTTAGAGCTGCATTAAAATTTGTCCAAAATAATGGCAAAATGGTTCTGGATGAGGCTAAAATGGCCACGGTATAGCTTAAAATAAAGTAAATCTAAAATCTATTCAAATTATAGGTTCATATTACACTTGTATTCATTATTATGTATTTAATGTTAAAAAGTACACCATGCTATAGGGCAGGCTATGCCTAATATAAAATAACAAATAACTTACATAGTTTAAATAGGTATACAAATAGGCTAAGTAAACGTATAATATATAGCCAACTAAATAAGAAAATAAAAAAAAAACACTCCAGTTCCTCAAGGAATGACCATTATGGATAATGACCATTATAACCATCATATTTGACTAGACTGCTCATACTGCTATCTTAATGCCTGTTGGACTACTGAGGGGTCTGTTTTTGTTAAGCCTCAATCACTGATCAAGTGTTTCTTTGGGTAAAATCGGTGACCTTGGTCACTGTGTGTTGTATAGCTCTCCTGCCTCTACCTCTTTCTTCAGAGAAATAGCCAGAGACACAAATATGGGCAAGATAAAAAATATGTGGCTTGTTATAGAGAGAGAGAACGAAGAGAGTGAAAATCAGAAGTGAGCTGTCACTGAAGTTTTGCCCACCTGTCATCTCACAGCCATTAGAGGACAGAAAGCTTTACTTTACAGCTCATCAGCACAATTTCAGCACCTGCGGCCAGGTACAGCCTCAAAACCTCATTATTGCAAGAAAAAAAACACCCTTCACACAGTCATTTATAACCTTTGAGAACAGTCATCTTCACATATAATTACACACTCATACTTCAGACTTGAACTGAAGGGTCCTGAACCTGTGTTTACATTCTGGTGACTATAACAATAATTTTGGCGCAGCTCTCATTATATGCTGTAATTATAGACTCTCAGAGGGAGTGTTAGGATCATTGGCGCAAACCAGTGTTTTGGAGATCTAAGACTTCATTATATTAATGACAACTCAGAGGTGAAGACCCTCTGTCTCGCTGGTTTTATCCTCCCATCGGGCTTTCAAAGACACACAGACAGAGCTGTTCTCAACATCAACTAAAATGTTCATTGATTTAATTTGCATGTTGTTGTTTTTTTTTTTATTCTCCATTCCATTTGTTCCCACTTCAAGACTTTGTGATTTACAGGAAAGATATTACTGTAATTCAATCAAGTGTGCCAGGAGGATGGGTTGATCCTGAATAACACATTTAGTTTAGTCCAGTGTGATTTCCACTAATCCAAAGCAAACATCAGATTTGGCCTCCAAAGTCACACTGACCAAATGGCCATTGCCCCACACGAGTAGTAACACTCTATAAACAGGGAGGGGATTGATTCAGGGGGCCAAGCCTCAGGCACTGACCTCTTGTTTCAGGCTCTTTCATTAACAGTGTTAAGGATTAAATGCTCCAAAATGAGCTTATTATGTTTAGATTTAATATATATATATATATATATACACACACATCTCTTACGCTAGGTTCATACGGGGCATCGGCGTCAACGCTTGATGGAGGGCATGTCTGAAGCTTGGCGCTGACGCGATCGGCATAGTGACATCAGCCAATTACATTGGACTGCAATTGGCTAGCGCCTGAGCTAGGGTATTTGCATAAGGCAATCTGACTGGCTAACGCCTCTGTTGGCGCTTGAAAAGTTGAGAAATTTTCAACTTCTGTTGCGAGCAACGCCAGTGATGTGGCGCCAACAGACCCACAATGCAGTTCGGCAACGCATGACGTCACCCATTCAGAGTAAATGAGAAGCGTTAATGCCGATTCCCCATGTGAATGTACCGTTACCACAGTGTCTTCGCCTTGATTATAATGGCATACCTGTTGTTGTCACAGCACTTGATTCCTGTATTAGGTGTTGCACCATTGCAAGCAAGTGACATGTTGTCTAGCAAATTCACAGGTGATGTTTCTTTAGCACTCATTAACGAAGAGAGTGAAAATCAGAAGTGAGCTGTCACTGAAGTTTTGCCCACCTGTCATCTCACAGCCATTAGAGGACAGAAAGCTTTACTTTACAGCTCATCAGCACAATTTCAGCACCTGCGGCCAGGTACAGCCTCAAAACCTCATTATTGCAAGAAAAAAAACACCCTTCACACAGTCATTTATAACCTTTGAGAACAGTCATCTTCACATATAATTACACACTCATACTTCAGACTTGAACTGAAGGGTCCTGAACCTGTGTTTACATTCTGGTGACTATAACAATAATTTTGGCGCAGCTCTCATTATATGCTGTAATTATACTCACTCAGAGGGAGTATTAGGATCATTGGCGCAAACCAGTGTTTTGGAGATCTAAGACTTCATTATATTAATGACAACTCAGAGGTGAAGACCCTCTGTCTCGCTGGTTTTATCCTCCCATCGGGCTTTCAAAGACACACAGACAGAGCTGTTCTCAACATCAACTAAAATGTTCATTGATTTAATTTGCATGTTGTTGTTTTTTTTTTTATTCTCCATTCCATTTGTTCCCACTTCAAGACTTTGTGATTTACAGGAAAGATATTACTGTAATTCAATCAAGTGTGCCAGGAGGATGGGTTGATCCTGAATAACACATTTAGTTTAGTCCAGTGTGATTTCCACTAATCCAAAGCAAACATCAGATTTGGCCTCCAAAGTCACACTGACCAAATGGCCATTGCCCCACACGAGTAGTAACACTCTATAAACAGGGAGGGGATTGATTCAGGGGGCCAAGCCTCAGGCACTGACCTCTTGTTTCAGGCTCTTTCATTAACAGTGTTAAGGATTAAATGCTCCAAAATGAGCTTATTATGTTTAGATTTAAACCCTATTGTTTAGCAGCTGCGTAGCTTGTGCCAAGTCTGAACAAACACAAAGGGAAATGAGGAAATATGGCTTTGTTGAACACTAACTTTATGCCTTTCATTAATGCTAACCTGACTTTTTTCACTGGAAAATCTTATATAAAGAGACTAACAGTAACATTTTAATTTGTATATTGGTATTGTTGTTAAACTTCAGGTTGTTGCCGCTCGGCTCTCTGTGACCCTCATTGACTTTTGGCGAGTGTGTTTTTTTTCCTCATTAGTGACTGATCATTGCTGTCATTGATTTTCTCACTTAAATCCTTTAGTCATTAAGATGGATCCTCTTTGGCTCTTTATAGGGTTATTTTTGGCTCTCATTTGTAGAAGTTGTAGTGTTTCAGTTCAAAAGTGTTAGTATTTGTTTTATTACGTGCCTGCTAGTGCTATACAAAATCATAATTGTTGACTGTCTCTACTATGGTAAATGCATCATTTTTAATTAAGAAATTACTCATTTTGATTAATAGAAGTTTCATGAAGTTAAATGCTCTGTCATTGAAGTTTGAGAGCAAAATAGCCCCAACACATTTTCAGTAACCAAATTAATGATGTATATACAGTATATGTGTATATATACACATTATATATAGCAAGTGACATGTTGTCTAGCAAATTCACAGGTGATGTTTCTTTAGCACTCATTTTTGAGCCACAGAGTATATCGAGAAACACAAAACACTCATTTGTGGTTCAGACTTCTGAAAACTCGCTTATTAGAACCACGTGTTGTTACCAAAAGTTCTAAAGACCATTTAAGAAGCTCCGATATGTTGATATGTTGCATTTGTTATTGCGTTTATGTGCATTGTATTTCTTGTGCAGCCCCTACTCTCTGCTTCCAATGCAAGACATAATACAGGTATTTGAATGTGTCCCCTGATTTTATTTCTTCAAATCTAAGTGTATAGACTATTTCTATGATAATTTATGATAATAAACTAGACAGCCCAGGTAGGGCTGCACGATAAATCGAAATGGAATCGAGATCGCGATTCGACAGAAACTGCGATTGTCATGCGTATCTTTCAGTGAAGCATGGTTCTGTGATCAGCAGTAAATCTCCATCCAAAGGCCAGAGAGCGCTCTCGCGCTGAAACTCCAAATACGCCTAGCAGAAAAAACCCAGGAAATGCCTATCGCTGCAGCTGAATAAACAGAAGATTCAACCGCTTTCATTGATTCAACCTGACTAATAAACACACGACTACGGCAATATACGGTTTATCAGGTAGGGCTGCACGATAAATCGAAATGGAATCGAGATCGCGATTCGACAGAAACTGCGATTGTCATGCGTATCTTTCAGTGAAGCATGGTTCTGTGATCAGCAGTAAATCTCCATCCAAAGGCCAGAGAGCGCTCTCGCGCTGAAACTCCAAATACGCCTAGCAGAAAAAACCCAGGAAATGCCTATCGCTGCAGCTGAATAAACTTCAACAAGATTCAACTGCTTTCATTGATTCAACGTGACTAATAAACACACGACTACGGCAATATATGGTTTATCGGAGTTCTTATTATTATAATTTTCATTAAAATAAAGTATATTTATAATGCAATGCCTTTATCACTGCTTAAATATGTTGCGTGCCTTATTCTGTGTAAGAAGCCACATCATCTCACAGAAGGATTTATTTCAAACACTCGACTGACGTTATGAAGTGAGTTTGGAGTAAAAATATGTTATTAAATGTGGTATTTTCACATGCTTTCAGATGGAGCAGCATTTACTTCACAGAGCCGTAGTTCACTGACAAGTTACGCAAAAAAAAAAAAAACGCTTTTATTGCGCGATTATGAAATAGCAGCTGTTTGCATAGCTTCTCGGTGAACTATGGCTCTGTATAGTAAATGCAGCTCCATCTGAAAGCATGTGAAAATACCACATTTAATAACATATTTTTACTCCAAACTCACTTCATAACATCAGTCGAGTGTTTGAAATA